GTTCCCAAGATATGGCAAAAACAAGTGGGGGGATATTCAGGGCTAGGGGTCAGCTATGCTGGGTACATTATTTAGCAGTCGGATCTCGTTCCTTTTGGGTAGGATGGATGTCATATCATTACTATAGCATGTAACAGCGACAATATTTAGCTATATGGGCCTATGGTACGCTGAGAAAGTGAGGGGAGGAGGAGGAGCACATGGATCCAGGCCCTATCTGGGATGTAACCATGGTCTATATTGGCTGGGAGATATCTAGATGAGGTAGATATACCATTGGGTAAAGCCTCCATGGAGCTAAACCAGTGGAAATGTCCCTCTGTGGATATAGGGATAGGGAGGGGTGTTTCTGGGTTACTGGGCCAGTGAATATTATTCTGGGTGTAATTTAGATCATTTTTAGGTCCTGTAACTTCATGGTAAATCATATAAAATATATAGAAAGAGTATCCAGTAGTTATAGTGTTGCTACATATGCCTAAAAGCCCTGTAGAACTTGTTCCATGAGGGTGAGGAGGAAAGCAGGGAATATTTCGCAAATATTTCGATATATATTCGCCAAATCACCGTGAAATGTTCTGGAAATTGGTATGGGTACTGAAGAAACATATAGAAACATTTCTGGGTACATGGACTTATGGCGATCACCTTGTACAATAAAATTTTTTCACCACTATATGTCGCTTGTATATATATATGTGGTGCTGCACTATATATATAGAGATGTGGTCCATGATTGTTGTATTCTCTGGTTCGGGCTGACTGGGCTGTTCTCAGCAGCATTTGTATCTACTTTAAGGTGACATGCTTGTATTTAATACATTCCAGAGTATTTCTTGTCACTCCTCATGATTGCAGTACCAAAGGATCAGATGTCGGACAGGCCTCTCTTTGAAGCCCTACAACAGTAAGCTAGATATTCGCTACAACCTGTGACATCCACAACTAACTTGAAATCTACAGCTCCCATACTATCACAACCCCAGAACTCATTCTCATTCTCATCGTCCTTAATCATGTTCGGTTGGCACGTCCTGATGGTGTGAATATAAAGTTAATACCTATGACAATGGCTAATACAATTCACAAATACATACCTGTGTACTCGTTTCACCACTCCGCTCTAGCCTCACATTCTCGGCGGACTTGGTACATTTTGCGTGCTCGTGTGAAGTCTTTCCAGAGTATCGTCTCATGGGCTCCATTAGAGCCTATGGTGAGAAGCTCTGCATGTGCATTCCCAGAAGACCTGGGAGGCTGAGGGTTTGGCGATGATCAATTGCCAAGAGGTGTGGTTGGATGCTGCACTGTGGTATCCTGTGCACGTCTGCGATCCCAGGATGATTGGCGGGGCATCTCTGTGCAATGTTCATCCTCGCTGCGGAACATCCTGAAAGGTTGTCAGATCTAATTTCCACAAGAGACATGCAATAGGACTTCATACCAAGTAGTATTGGGTTGAGTGTGAAGAAGAACGCCCCACCGTATGTAGCAGAAATTGAACTCATCAGGAAGACAGTTCTGTTTTTGCAGCTGACAGCAGAGACTGTGACGCAAGGCATCTCGATTAGTATGAATGGGAGACATGTAATTAGTGCAATAGTAGAGGTTCATCCTGGTGGACCCAAGCCGGTTCAATCCACTCTCCTTTGTTAGGTGGTCCATGGCACGTATCTGCTCTGGGATGAATGGTTTCAAAGATTCCTTCAGGATCTCTGCATCCTACACCATGTTATGATGTAAGCCAATTTGGTCCACAACAAGTCATGCAACAGTCAAGTTCAGGTAATGGTGAACTTACCTCTGCATGCCCAAACAGGATATTTATGTCTTCTGGGGTGACATCCGGTGACATGTATGAGTAAGTTGTGTACGAATCCCCTGGTCGTCCTCCAGACGTGGCTCGTGAGCCCACAGGTATCATGATTCCATATGCGCAAGATTCAAATGATTTGACTCACTTCACACCCTTATAACCTTTCAAATGGCTAGAGTGTTCAATCATGCATCCTAGATGTTCCTCCGTGAAGGCTCTGAAGCGAACGGCACCGATCTAAAGTGAAAATTAATATGTATCAATATTGAATGAAATAATCAGAGGCAGTATAAGGACAGATTATACTATAATGCGCTTGTCACCAATTTTCTGCTCCCGTATTTGTGTAAAATTGTCGATCCCTAGATCCTTGAACCACTGTTCATCGGTCTTCTCCTCATGTTCTGCAGGTGCATTGATAAGAGTGATGTCTCGTCCACACCGTGCGTATACATCGGCTCTAGCTTGCACATGGGTCCACTTAAATGTGTTGGCATGGAGAACATGATCAGTCAACCCATCATTGAAATTCTACAGATATGGTGCATTCAAATAATAATAGAAGTCAGACTTGGAGTATAGCAAAATTGGAATGTTTGACCTTGGGGTGAAGAATGTCATCATTCTCTGCAGGACTCAGAGCATATCCATGATATTCTCCTATATTCTCTGCCAATATACCGTCCACATGTCAAACACATTTCTATTCTGCCGGTTGGTCTTTGCAGGTCCGGCATACTCCTGCCCCACATTGAGCTAAGTCTCATCCCATAATAATATCGATGGGTTTATTATAATAGTGGACTTACCTTTCTCCTTTTTGCCATCTTTAGGACTTTCCTTCCCATGTTCTGCACGAAGTTGTTGCGATGCTCTTCCTGTTATGTCGGCTTGTGGACGGTGCGGTCGGAATGCATGTTTGTGAGCCGTCTTTCTGACATCGAAGAAACAATACGTGTTCTCGATTATACAGGCAAGTCAATTGTATTTGAATGATTTGATGAAGCTGGGCCGGTCGTTACGAGCTTTATTACAGAAGGCACTATAAAGGGCATCAATTTTCCAATCTCTTGCCTGTGTGTATGATATCTGTCAGTATCACTGCAGGTATACATAGAACGGTCAAGATAGTCATTGTCCTGACGTACGTCTGGATACTGTCCAGTTGACAGAATTGCGGGACAAAGCCACTCTTCCCATGCTGTCTTAAAAGCATCAAGACAGGTCAGAAAGAAGATAGCGCCAGGGTTCCATGGTTGTGGGACAAAAGCCGGATTGCTGTCAAGGATGTCAAAGAACTCCTTGAGGTTTTTCTGTATCTTTCCAGGCGCCGGTTCTCTGACCTGTATAATATAAAAATCACAACTGTGTAGAATTGACGGCATAAATGTAGGCTGACCTTCAGAGAGATGTCATCAGGCATCCAGTCCTTCATTATTTCCCCAAATGCAGTCTTGAAAGAATACATCGCATATGCTCGCTGGACATGAGGTTCAGAAGGACAAGGCAGATTGGCGGGGTCACATATAAAGTTGATGACATCAAACAATCCTGTTTGCTGTGTTACATCCCAGAAACCACTAATTAGTCACAAAGAAAGTGAAGATTTGCATGACACCAACCTCCACAATATGAAGCCACAAGGGATCCTTATACGCTCGTTTAGGTACGGCGCGCATTTCTCGGAGAGAGTCGACAGTCTGAACAAGTGCGAGTGTGTCACCATAGGGCTCCCCATTCTGTATCATCATCTGAGATCTTAGCACATTCAAGAGCGATAGGATATAATCACACTGTGACTTACTGGTGGTCGGAAGTATGATCGCAGAGCTTCAGCCCATCTATTAACGTAGTACTCCTTCTCACCGTCAAAGAAAATATGCCATGCCGCTTGATTTCATGCTGTCAGAGTCATCTGCTCCCGTCGGAGGCTGGTTTCAAACATGAGACTCTCTGGTAATGCCAAAGATCTCTCACTCAATTGCAAATCTAGGACATCGTAGAGGAGAGAGAGCTCACGAGACTCTTTATCCTGTGCATCATTCACATTGTTGTTCTCTTTGAACGACTCAAGAGGCGGCAGATACGAGTGCCTAAGATTTTTGTTGTTTTCTTGCCGGTAGCAGCTCTCATCCAATTGGTCAACAATGAGAGAGTTCTTCATCAGCTCCACTCCCTAATTATCAAGGTAAGTAGTATTATTATCAGGATACTAAAGTTTCATCCAGCAAAAACGTACCTGTTCTGTGTCTGCGAACGACTTCTGCAATAAAAAAAGTACCTTTGCATTCTCTTCGTGAAGTGCTTCACTTGTCTCCGTTGGCCGTTTAGGATCTGGCCACTCAGCCCACAACCGTCTGAGAAAAGCTTCAACGACTCTCTTAGACTCAGCGCTTGGGCATCGTATCTGTGCAACAAATTTGAGCCATCGATGTGCAAGCGTCACCTGCTCACCACAGTATTGGTCTCTCACTCTTGGGCTTGCAAAGAAGTGGGGACATACCAGGTCATCTCGCTGCAACACTTGCTCTACCAGATTCTCCATGAGAGGCTTGTGATCGCTCCGGGTGCGAACAGGCTTGTGTTGACGGAGCTCGAGCTCTTGAAACGTACTGAAGATGGGCTCGTATTCACAGAAGGCTCTCTTAAGGATGACTCTGGAGAGGAGCAACGTAGACATGGTTTGTATGAGTAGAGACATGACAGCAGGAGTAAAGAGTCGATGATCACTGGCAGGGCGTAGGGCTCACGCAGACTGGGCAGTGTATACATGCCCACGCTCCGGGCATGAGGCTTGATGCTTCTATGGATCCCAGTTCACCCGTTCTCATGCTGATATCCACAGATCGGCCTACAGCTGGTGATTTCTAGTAGCAGACAAGAACATAGCATCTAATAACACAATACACACATCACACGAAACCGTCAGCATCTAATCCAGCACATATCACCTCCTTGAACAACACCTTCGCACTCTACTTCCCGCCAACCTCGTCCATGATCACGTCTGCGACATTGTCAAGCTCTTTCCGTGCTTTGCAGAGCGCAACGGCGCGTTCGACGCGTTAGGTGAGAGATTGTGTTCTCCACTACCTACGATTTTGCATTGGGGCCGGAGCAGGCCTTTGGCGTAGGTGGCGTGGAAGCATATTTCGAGGAAGACGGTGCGGAAGGTGCGATCGATCGCCTTTTTCCGAGTTGGCAGAGGTCGTGATCTGGAGAAATGAGTGGTGGAAGGGGTTCACGGTAAGAAAGACAAGAAGGGGTGGAGAGGGGAGAGGAAAGAGTACACACACACCACCCGATCCGCGAGGATCGACAAGTTCTTGTGGGCGATGTTTGCGAACGGCCCAGCATGGACGATCACCAGCATGCCATCCGCCGTCTGCATCAGGTTCAGCTTCACCGTATCCTTCATCAACACTGCAAGTGCGCCTCCCACCCCAATATCATCCGCCGTGATTGGGTCTCCGCACTTACTCGTCGCAACGACCATCGCGCCCAATTTCTCCCTCATGTCCGACAGACTCGTCGTCAGTGCGAGCACGGCCATGCACTCACTCATCTGTTTAACGTCTGCCATTGTAGCCTGGAACTTGAGCGAGTGGAAGAGTATAGCAATGAGAATCTTGAACTCCAGTACGGCTACATTTCATGAGCCGACATGAGCATTCATTGTCCAGTATTCGAGGCGAAAAGGAGAAATGTGCACCAAGTTGCCAGCTAATGCGGGTCGCAGAGGGTAACAAGACCGCTCCATCGATGAGGGAGTTCACTAGGCTGAGGCACGCCACCAGGGATGATTCAACGTTTGGGCTTGAAGACATGTGCGTCTTCGCCCCACACTTCAGGGTCGATGTTCATGGTGGTAAACGGAATATAGAAGGTCTATCGACGCGGCGACAGATGATTGACGATTAGTTGATTTTCATGACCTTGATGGACGGTGGTAGGGAAGCGGGCTCGATCCAGTCATGATGATTGTACTGGAGAGCAAGGCTCATACGAAGTGGTGCTGTAAGACCTGGGTGTTTGTCGAGCGCGTCGAGCGCGTAACGAAAGCCGTCATCGATGAGATAGAAGTGCGACATCTTGAGGATGCTGAGTAGGTATTCCAAGGACAGTTCGCCTTGTCTGTAACTGGTGAGCGTGGATCAGCTGGACAAATTAGAGAATACGTTCAACGTGATGTAACAGACCTCTCGTAAATGTGAAGCAGAAGATTGTCGAGATCCGTTTTTGTTGATGTGATGATAACTGGATTGATGTCTGATGATCCCTCTGCCACTAGCTCAATAGTGCTCGGGTTTTCGTCAGGATCACGTTGAGGCAACGATAACATGTCTTGAAATAGCCCAGAGCGAGCAGTGAGAATGCAGGCATGTACGTTGTACAGAACACCTTTGCTGTCACGACCGGGCGATAAGGGAGTCTAAGTACCCCACGGCTCAAGACAAGAGATGGTGGAAAATCGGAAAGGTAATTGATTGAGACTAATAGTCACCAGGAATAGACGATCCAAAAGCTGGAGAAATACATGCGAGTGCTACGTAGTATTTATACGAATCCCAAAACACCTCAATTGTAAGCAAAACGAAAAGTAAGATGAAATAATCAGAGGAGAGACAAAGAGGAAAGACAAATAATCGTGCACTAAGTTGGTGCACTAGAAAGAATACTGAGCGGCACAAACCACACGTCCGTAGCATGTAAACAAAGGAGTCCAAGGTAGGAAGAGAAGATAAGGTGAATAACGAGGCTAAGAGAAAGGGAAAAACGATCTGGAGAACAATGGGTACGGACTCTGTGAACATAAACAATTATCCTAGAGTAGTCAGGCACAGATAAAATACGGAGACACAGTAGAATAATAGTATGAACCAGTAGGAACCTCTCTATATCAAAACGTCGGCGATTGAGTGGAAACTGGTTGAGCTACACGAGGGGAAACACTATCTGATGGCCCTGAGCGATGTTGAGACTGAGATCGTGTTGTGGTATATTCCACAGTGGCCCAATTGCCAAGATTGTTGGATCAATAGAAAGCTCGAGTTTGAGAGAGTCCTCTGGAATTTTGTTCGGAGAGAAACCCCCCAGTATTGTGTCCTGTAGCTTCGTCCGAAGGGGTGTGGAAACCCTAGCGCGTCGGAGTCCGAAACGTTCCACAGGAACCGGCAGCTCGGTGCGAGCTTCCGTAGCTGCGATCGCTCCTCGCGCATGGCTTGAATAAAATCGTAAAAGCCCCAGATAAATTGGGGAAGCCTCCTTGGCATGTTGTGGTCCATGCAGGTACTCGGTCCGTCGTGTGTTGATAGGAGAAATGTCGCGGTAGACAGTTTACGATGGTCGAGACTTAAGAAATGAGGCTCGACGCACGAGTGCGGGACTTGCCGGCCTGGTTTCCTTATGTGGCTTATGGGGGTTTGACGAGGCTCGAAGGTTGAAATAAAATGATAGAAATGTGGGTAAAAATGTGGAGGACTCGTGGCAACCGTGGCGTCGTTTGTAGGTGGCGCGCGGAGGCGAATAATGCAGAAAATGAATTAAAAACAGGTCATATGCGTAGGGTACAGGTGGCGGTTATGACATTTGCACTGCGTATAAATAGGTGTCCCAGCAGCAAAAAGGGATTCATGTGCCCATCAGTTAAGAGAAAGGTTTGCAATACGCAAAACTCACCTTGAGCGTCAAGGAACCATCTGCAAAATAATAGCGCTCATGACGTAGTATAGGGATAGTGGCCTGAAGATTCGCAGAGTCCATCGTCGCAAGAGGAAAGACGACTTCCAAAAAAGCGACAACCAAGTATGGTGGTATTTGTGGCTACGCCGGACGCCATCTTCCTCCCTGCCTACATCTCCTTCTAGGTCACGATATTAACATGTCTTTGCCCACTCACATCCCTGCCCTTCCTGAACTGCTAAAGAATGATAGACAAGACTGGTCCCCAAATGTTCTGCGTACTTTCAGCCTTATAGACCGTGCATACGGTCGGTCTCTTCTCGTCATTCAGGAAGGCGAACAAGATGCCCATTGCCTACGCATCCATGGTGACACAATTGTGGCCCGCATCTTTCCTCTACTGGATGCGCTGGAACGTGAGGGTATGCAGAGAGACTGGGTCAGGAGCACGGGTGAATTGTTGGCAAGCATGGTCCTGCGTTTGGAACATAATGCACATGAGGTTGATAATATGTACGTACCTATTAGCAACTCCTGCTGTTTCTAGTCGAGTGAGAAATCAGGTAGAGTTGCCAGAACTCCTTCTGATACCTGTTATAAAACGGCTTGTTTAGAGACTCGGTACCAGTTCGAAGACCAAGTAATGTCATCACCGTCGAGCGTCCTGGCCGACGTGGCCACCCACGCAAGAATATTTCCGTTGACTGGCTTCGCGATGCTTTAAGCAAGAAGAGATCAATTCCACTTACAAAACTTGCAAGAATCATTGATGTCCATCGACACACTCTTCGACATTACACCAAAGTACACAGAGCCTACGTAGGGAGGAAGTTCAGCGACATCTCCGACGACGAACTAGACATCATTCTCACCGCATACCGCACTCAGAAACCTGGTTTGGGGATCCGATACATCCTTGGGTTCCTACGTGGTCTTAGAGTTCAAATTCAACGTGAGCGTATCCGTTTGAGCCTTCGTCAGATAGATGGGCTTGCGCAAGCCTTGCAGAACTATGAGGCCGTAGACGATCGCCGTTACTCAGTTCCTTGGTCAAACTATCTCTGGCATCTTGATGGTCATCATAAACTTATCCTTTGGGGCTTTGTAATCCACGGCATCATTGACGGGCATGATCATACAGTACGCCTCATCGCTGCTCACTCTAACAGTGCTTGAAAAATGTGTGAGTGACTAATGACGACTGGAATACAGGGCATGCCACGATTACCGGACGGGTACCTGTGCCTAAAATACCAATTAAAGGGTAGCCACAGCTTCCAGCTTTCAAATGAGCCCAGGGTCATGTCATTTGGACAAGAATTGACTGAGTTATGCTCAAAATAAGTTTCAGCCATTTTTATGCAGGACTAGAGTCATGGAGGGTGTAAAATAGGTCAGAGGTACCTATGAGTACCTGTATCCCATCTTACACCCCCCATGACTCTAGTTCTGCATAAAAAATGGCTGAAACTTGTTTTGAGCATAACTCAGTCAA